AGGTATTTAAAGAAAAAGTGCTGGGAGTCACAGCTGAAAGGCAAAGCACACAATGAGTCACTTGGCAAACAAGGGCCAGGAGCACAAGGGGCACAAGGCAGCGCCAGGGCTGAGCACTGATTTACAGCCAGGCAGACACAGCCCACGGGGAGCTGCGGGCAGCCTGCGAAAAGGCTCAGGGTATGGTATCGGTGCACGGGCATTTAAAAAGTGCATTTGCATGGAAAAGAACATCAGAAACTGAACTACAGTGCTGCTCCAGGCACCAGATGGGTGTTCTGAGAGTGAACCCTCTGCTGACCCACCAGCTCTTTTCTATCACCCACTGACACAGGTGTGAGGAAAGAGCTGGGGCTGAAACAGGATCCAGACTGGGCTCTGGCCAGATGAGATGTGCCCTGGTAACTCATCCCCAGACTCGTCCTCCTGCTCCAACCCCAGTCCTGGGCGTGGCCACACCTGGAATTTTGGTCACATAAACCTGGCAAAATTCCCAGAAACAGGCTGGACAAGCCACCTCCAACAGACCTCAGGTGTGTCCTGTTCCTGAGGGTACCTTAATCTTAGGGTTAGCGGTAGAGTGAGCAGGTGCTTTGCTACCAGACAATTATTAACTTCTTTCCAACAGCTATTTTCTAGCACTGCCCACATTATCTTTCTCACATTCTTTTCTACCAAGAGATCCTCCAGTTTGCCTGGCAAAATATTCAGCTTCCCAACCAAACACTATCCAAAAAATCTCACTCTGAGCACTCTTAATTAAGAGCAAATTATTAATACTACTTTCTGCACCTAGATCAAGAACTTCACTTTTTTCCAAGCAGGATTTTAAAATTCAGGACTTTCTGAACCAATTACTCCATAGCCTCAGTTGCAGGGCTATCTCTCACCCAAACCTTTCCCCTTTCCAAACTGCCTTTATCACCCCCAGAACGATAAACCCCGGTGCCTCGCACATGTCAGCTATCAGGAATTCATTATTTTGTCTGTGTTATGTTATACCAGTCGGGAGTTATCTTTGCAGCCCACAGGCCAGAATCAAAAACGAATGTGTCAGCTATTTAAAGAAAATAGAAGCCCTCCTCCAGCAATTTAATTAACTTCCAGGGAGCAGGGCTGGGTTTCAGTCCTGGAAATGGTACTGGGGAAAATACAGTCCAAGATTACCAGTCAGAAAATAAACTTCTTTTTTTTCTCCAAGTTGCTTTCCTTATATAGTCCCTGCAGCTAATCTGATTTTGATAAACATTTTTCCAGTACTAGGACAGCATTTAGGACTTCTCAGTTATAAACTGTCTCTCTCATCAAACTACAAAGGAAAATAAAAGTATACAATATTTTACAGGATTTTTGAGGGCAGATGCTTAATTTGTAAACTAAATACAGCTAAATTATTTATTTCCCAAAGAGGCCAGGCTTTGTGTTGTATATCTACAAGATGAATAATTAACAGACTGCCAAAACATTGTCTCTTTAAAATTCAAATAGAATTCCTAAAATAAACAGAACATGTACATTTCCCCCCCAAAACTGAGCCATGCCAGAAGATGCAATTTGAATCCCATTATCTTTCTAAAACCTTTGCACAGAGTTTAAAAACCAAGATTTCATAAAACCAGGCCTGCAGATTTTTCTGTTTCATTTGCAAATAGGAGAGTGGAGGAACGCAATTAACTCACACAGAGTTTCAAAACTCCAATCAATGACTAATGCTTGCTTGGGGTTCCTATTGCAGGAGCTGGGTAAAAAGTGCTGGGAACTCAGCTGAAACACACGAGCAGTCACCTGGAAGCCATGCATGAGTCGTGAAAAGCAAACATGAGCCAGCGTTACATCCTTCCTCTTGAGCAAAGCGTGCCCAGCGCTGCTCAGGGAGGCAGGAATCTGCAGCATCCCAGCCCTGCTGGGGACAGCAGAGCTGCAGGAATGTCCTGCTCTGCTCAGGGCAGCCCTGACACCATCCCAGGTGGGGGAGAGAGGGACACCTCACTGAGCATCCCTGTGACATCCTCTTCACCACACACAGCAGGGAATTATCTTGGCTGGGATCACCAGTTGGGTAAACAGGAAAAGGAAACGGGTACATGATGGACTGCTGCCACCTCTGCTCCTCATTCCTCCTGTGTCCCAAAGCCAGTCATGGCTTTTGAGAATCTAGAGTTGTCCAAATCAGGACATGCTGGGGGTGTAATTTTGAAGCATGCACTTAAGATTTATAAAGATGTCTTCAAAACCAGGGCCCTCTCAAAGAGGGATTTGGATGGTTCATCTTACATAAAGTCTCTTTCCAAATTATAAACATGACTTCAAAACCAGGGTCCTCTCAAAGTGGAATTTGGGTCTATCATCTGACATGAAGTCTCTCCCCAAATAATAAGGCACAAACTAAATGATCTTTAAGATCTCTTCCAACCCAAACCACTCCATGATTCTGTGAAACCCCTGTCCTGTAAGAGCCCAGCTCAGGACCTTGGGCTCCTACTGCAAAGCACCTGCAAGGACCAAACCCCAATGTCCCTGCTATTCCCATGCCTCCCAGTGCTACCAGACTGTGAAGCCCCTCCAGAGTGACCTTGGTGGTGTAGAAATCAAAAGTTTTTTACTTTCTCCAAGCGCCCACGTGTCATGTTTGCTCACTGAAAAGAAACAGATTTCCAAGGAATGTGCTCACCCACTCAGCATGGGGCAGGGGAGGGTGTTTCTCAGCAGGCTGCTGCTCCCTGCCATCAGGGTGTTATCTGGGAATTTGAGCAGAGGATTGGGAAAGAGGTTCCTATAGAACCACAGGAGAGAAACACAGCGTTCAGGCCCTGGTACGGAGCTGACGTCAGGGGAATGCCACATGGTGACCCCACCACAGGATGTGTCCCCGTGGAAAAGCTGCCTAGGGGATGTGTGTGAAAAATCAGACAGGAAGAGATCCCCAGCATTGCCTGGACTGGCCCAATCCTCACTTCCACAGAGCTAATCTCCAGGACTTCAGGCAATTCCTGTATTTACCCATGTTCATTCAGCACTAACCCAGTACCAAAAAAAATCAACCTGCACATTCTCACGGAAGCTGAGGTGGTGCAAGAGCCACATTCCAGAAGGTGACTCAAAGCAGAATGTCCAAGTGACAGCGAGCAGAGAACACTCTCAAGGCACTGCAAAGGGAGGCAAATCCCCCTGCAGAGGGACACAGTCTGTGCAGCACAGCAAGCTGTGCAGCAGAGGCCAGTCCTCCGGTATCCTCGTTAAGATATCCTGGTAATTAAGCCAGTGCTTTATCAGCACTGGCCCAAAGGACCACTTGTGATATGTGACATGGAATTCCTTCACTCCTGGTGTGCTCACTGGGCCTGGGACAGCTGGCTGTGCTCATTTGCCACGGGGGCATAACATATGTTCAGTTTAACAGAGGGAACAATTGCTGCAGCTATTTCCATGGAACTCTTAGGGGAAGAGCTGCATTTGGAAATCACTCTTGTAGCAGAGCGCTCTTCCCTACAATTTTCTTTAAATACTTCTGAAGGTAACCATGGGCAATCCACTCCTTGCAACATGTCCAGGGAAGCACAGAAAACAGCCACAGCCACAGGTCCTGGGCTCCTGAAGCCATACTTACAAACCTATTTATGGCAAATGATAAGGAGGCTGTGTTAAGTTTAAACCACATAAGGGAGCTTTTCACCACCAAGGTGGTTTTTAACATTAACCCCTGTTCTTGAGAATCAAGCAAATTGTGCCACCAGTTGTTACAGCTTAACAAGTTACTTATTGTGGAGTCAGCAGTGATTTTCTGGTTATCTGTGCCTAACTGAGCTAAGCTTAGGGCGTCCCTGTAGAGATCAGGCAAGATAAGAGGTCTTTCTAGAGAAAAATGCAGCATATTGCAGGTATAAGCAGTATACTGGGGGTCACAGAGCAGGTCTACAGCACGAACAGGAACAGAAGTGGTCTGCACAGCCAGCCCACCCAGCTGATCAAAAACACCTTTTTCTCCCTGCAGGTGTGACAGCATGCCAACAAACAGGAGGAGGAGGTTTGATGGACTTCACAGAGCGTGTCCTCTGGCAGAGAACAGACAGGCCTTTGAAGGGAAGGGGTCTAGGGATTGGCATTGGCATTTACTTGACAACTGGCCCCTCAAGGGATAGCAGAGTCACTCTGGCAGTCAAACGTGACTTGCTCCCTGCATTTGGGCACACAGGTCTGTACTGAAGGCTCTCCAAAGCTGTTGTAGCTAAAGTGTAAAACACACCTCTCCCCCCATATGGAAACTCAGCAAGCAGTAAAATATTAACGTGACCAAAGCCAATCTTCTGGATCTCTATTTGCTCAGTGAGCTGCTTCTAATGGAAGGTCTTTCCCCGTGGCTCCAGCAGGTCCAGGTGACCCCACCTGCTCCCCCTCAGCTCCTTATCACAATCAGAGCTGGGTAAGCAGCACCTCCAAGGGGAAAGCAGACCTGATGATGCAGCTTTAAACAGCTCAAGCAGAGCAAGGGGGTCGCACATCAGCCAGAACACAAGTGTTGGGTCAAGTGTGGGGAGGGAGAGGCCCCGGGGCAGCTGCAGGAGAACATGGCTCATTGATCCCGGGGCAGCTGATGGCTGTGTCCCTGCATGGGCAGGGCTGGGGGCAAGGTCACCCACAGGGACCCAAACACAGGCCAGCAGAAGCACAGGCAATGGTTTTCTTGGCAAAAGTTTGGCAAAGCACAGGTTTTCCCAGCAGGGAAGTCTGGGAGCTTCCCCTTCTCCCACTGCGGCACCCACACTTGGGAGGGGAGCGCAGCGTGGTGGCCTCAAACACTGTTTTGACTCAGAGCTTGCTCACAAAAGGCATTACTCACCCTGCAGACTCAGATTTTATCCAGCCCAGCAGCACATTTCACTTTCTTCGGGCACTGCTCGCAGCTGGACTTTACCCTCATTTGTGATTGTTTGCAATACAATGCCAACACAGAAAAACACATCCATCAAGCACACCAGTATTAGAAAGGAAAATGTTATTACCTGGAATAGTCCCCTTTAGCTTCCTACAATTGAAAAACAGTGACAGAATTAAAACATGATCTCTTCAAAACCCTCGGTTTTCCCAGCATTGTTCACTTCCCCACTCCCACAGCTCTGCAGGCAGATCCTGACCCCCACCACACTCCCTGCAAAACACGGAGCCTCAAGAGCTGGACTTGGCCCCTCGTGCTCCCAGCTGTAGACAATCCACCTACAGCACAAATAAAACTGCTTCCAAAACGGGGATGAGTTTCACATTGCAAATCAAATGCTGCTTTTACTGCACAAGAAGTGAAATACAATTCTCCCTCCTCTCCCATCCAGGCAAAGGTTGGCTGTACAGTCAGGTCAGCAGTTGGGAGGAATTGTGCTCACTCGAGATGAAAACAACTGTTCAGGCAGATGGAGCTGCTGCTGTGGCACTTTGTCAGTGACAATGCAATGGGGGAAAACCCCAGTTTTTTAAAGGCAGAATTTTATTTCATAGAAAGGGGTAAATAACTGGAGTTTAAGTCTCAGTAGAACAAAACTAGATTAATGAGAGGGAAAACTGACACTGTATATTTTAACATAACAGAGGTATCAAAACCATATGCTCGGAAAAGAAGATTCACAGGCATAATATAGCTGATTTAGCCACAATATTTACACTTTTCTTCCCAGATCTCTGGAATGTATTTAAATTAGGGCTAAGTGATAAATTGAATGGAAACCTGCCCAGATAAATGACTTCCCTTGATTAGCTTTTACTCTTTCCATTTAAAACTCCTCAAACAAACATTTCAAAAAAGAACTCCTATGTGTTCCAGCTTCCTCTGCCGCGGAGACCACAAACAACCCTGCGGGGCTCCGTACGGAGCAGGGGGAGGAAAAACTCCGGGAAGGGAATAAACTGAGCCAAACCGAGCCGGGGCAGACACTCACCTGGAGCACCAGGGCGGCCAACTTGAACACGGTCTCGCTGTCCACCTCGATGTGTCCCTGCACGGGAGAGAGCGCAGCGTGAGCGGGGCCGGAGCGAGCGAGGGAGCGAGGGAGGGAGGGGGCTCGGCAGAGGCGGCGCTGCCGGAGCGGCGCTCCCGCCCCGTGTCCCCGCTGCCACCGCCGCACACGCGGCCCGTCCTGCCCAGCCCTGCCCAGCCCCAGCCCCAGCCCCAGCCCCAGCCCTGCCCTCCGCACGAACGCGGCTGCTGCTGCTGCATTTCACGGGATGCTGCCCCCGAGCTCAGCGGGACGCGGTCCCGGCACGCTGCCAGCCCCAGTTTGCCACGCAGCAGCCCAGGGGTGTTAATGGGTGAGGGTCACAGGTCACAGCATCAGAGACTGGGTGTCATAGACTGGAATCTATGGAATCATGGACTGGCTGGGTTTGGGACCTTAACAACCATCTCATCCCGAGCCCCCTGCCCTGGGCAGGGGCACCTTCCACCAGACCAGGTTGCTCCGTGACCTGGCATTCAACACTTGCAGGGATGGGGCACGGCAGATACGTGGTTGGATGGCACCCAGGAGCAGCTGTCAGCTCCACAAACAGCAGTATTTGACAAGATCTAAACCCCTGACACCATCTGCAGGAAAAGCTGTTTATTTCCCAGCCCATTTCTGTGCTCTCCACTCATTTGGGTGCATCTGTCCACTGGGATAGCCCTGTCCCAGCCAAGAGAAAACCAAGGAACTACATCCATCTCTCCATAAAGATTTTTATTGCTTACAGTTTTAGGGCCATTCCTTGTTTGTTGTGGTACACAGCCCCCTGATGCTAAACCAGCCTGATTAATACTGATTAATCACAAGGGCAGCATAACTGAGTCCTTTGTCCTGCTCAGTATGCATCCTACAGCTTTCATTTCTTCCAACTCCACTGAAGCTCTAGAGCAATGCTCAGAAAAACTGCATGGAACCCATGCTGGAAATCTCCTGTGCCTTGAAACTACCCCAAAACCAGCCCTGTCCTAACAGCACGATGTACTCAGAAACTCCACAGGTGCCAAAGCATCAAAACTACATGAGGATCCTTTCTTTTTTTTTTTTTCCTCCTGCTTACAAGCTTAAGTACAAACTTTCCAGGTTAGTTTCTTACCAGGAAAACCCCTGGCCTTGGCTCTACTCAGGGACCAGCAGTGGCACTGGAAGAGCAAAGGAAATGCACTGACAGCTGCACTCTTTTACTCCTCCTGCATCCTGCAAACAGTGGGCAAAGCACAAAACTGAGCCTATGGAGCAGCCCAGGAACACAGATTTTTCTTATTGACCTTCTGCAAATGCAGATGGTGGACATGATGCCTACCTCATGTCACTGAGATCCCAACACACCCTTAGCCCCAGGATCTGTTGGCTGAATGAGGAGACAAAGCAGACCAAAAGCTGAAATAATGCCAAAACCAGGGCAGCAGCAAGATCTACAGAATCACATACAGATACAGGGAAATGACATCTCCAAATATATTAGGGCACATCTGGAGCTGAGCTAATTTACCACAGCTGCAGGTCTGGCCCGCAGAGACTAAATTCAAAAGTTGAACAAACAAATAATTCAATTTTCATGGAAAGGAAGTGTTTTTGCCAGCTTTGTCAATAAAACACTCCAGCAGCAGCACTCCCCCAGCCTTCTCTGACAGGCAGACCAGGAGGAATTTCCCCTTCCCAACAGGTGTGGCACCAGCTATGCAGGAGTAGCCCCCAAAGCATTCCCAGACATATTTTATTAGAAGAAGAGGAGGAGCACATCACAAGTTCAGAGAAAAAAAAAATAGCTTGAAGTGCATCCTTCCTTCAGATCTCTTTCATGCTGGTGCTTAAGAAAAGAGGCAAGATTGCAGCCTAAAAACTCTTCACATAGGTGCAATTTTAAGGCATTTTGTTACTTCCAGGTCTGTATCAGGTTAGTCTTTGTCATGCACATCTGAGCTGGCTTTCTGAAAGCTTAAATTGCATCTGCCCAAGCAAGCTCTGATGCCAGCTGTGGTGGTGAGAGGATTACAGGAGATCAGGTCACCCCAGCACCATGGTGTCCTTCCCCAGCAGACAAAGAACTCAGATATGAGAAAATGCCACCACAGGGAACCTCAGCTCAGCAGGAAAGGTGAGATCTGGCTCAGCAAAGCTGCCCTGGATCACAAAATCAGGGAAAACAGGGACAGAAGGGGCTTTAGAAGCTCACCAAGACCACTGCCCTGCCCCAAGGCAGAGTCAGCTACATGGGGCTCATTGCCTTTTAAGCCTACAAGAAACTCAAGGAGATTTAACTCTCCAAAGCCCTCTTGATTTATTGCTGGCTCCCAGATAAGCTCAGCAGCACTGGATGAGCTGCTGCAGCAGACTCTGCTGAGCCACAGCAGGAGCTGCTGCTGCCCTTCCAGGGGTGTTTGGGACATAATAACCAAGCACCTCCTCACTTTTCATCTTCAAAGCACCTCACAGCCATTAACTAATTAGCAAGAGTAATTATGAGGCTGCTCTTCTGTGTTTATTTGCTTTTTTCTAGAGCTAGACACTGGCCTTAAGAAACTCTGGTCACTTTACTGGCTGCTATGGCACGGCCACAAGTGTTAACAGTGATCCCACAAACCACTTCATTTAGGGTTTTAGGAGCCCAAAGAGCACAAAGGGGGACTGGCTTCTCCAGGTGAGGAAGTCTCACTTTGCTTTCAGAGTGAGGCATTTGCTGTGCCAGGGCCCTCAGTTTCAAATTTACAGCTTAGAAGCTGTAAAGAGTGAAGAGGCAAGAGGGTCTTCCCTAACTTGACCTCTTGAAGATGTCCTTGACCAAGCAAAGGGGACAAACAGATCACCCCAGGGGCAGGGCTGCCATCATGGCTCTCCAGCTGCTGCAAACCTCAGAACAGGGTGGACCAGCCCTAGTTATTGCCCACACAGTTATTGCCACCACACAGGAACAGTGGCAGGAGACTGGGGCCACTCTAAGCAAGGCTCAGGAGAAAAAAAAACCAAAAAAAACAAAAAAAACCAACCAATCCAAAGAACAACCCATCCTTTAAAGGGACTAAAAATCACAGAAAAAGAAAAAGTGCAGGGAAGTGAAGGGACTGCCCTGAAGTGCTGCAGTAGCTAAGCAGCAGAGCAAGGATTTGAAGCAAAGGATGCCCAGCTCAGCCTGTGTCTGACAGACTAATGCTCTCCAAGTGACAGCGTCCTGGGCAATTCCCTCTGAGCCTGGAAGTACTTTTTCATCATAATATAACATTATTTGCCATCTGGCTCACCAATTGGCCATTGCTGTAATGTAATCCAGCTCTGCCCTGGGCTGTCATGGAGTTTAGACAGCCCTTGGCTTGACACAAATCCAGACAGTGACATGTGCTGCTCTCAAGTGCAGGACCATGACTCTTCTCACTCACTCAGGCAATATTTTGATTTTATAATCATCCTTCAGCCTGGGGGTTGGCAGATGGGGGTTTCTGTCTTAGTATTGCTTTATCAGCAAGGTCAGATTTCAAAAAATAGATGAGGAGAATGACTGTAAGAAGATTAATTTGCATTGCCTGCCATTGGCAGGGTAATTCCAGCAGAGGCCTCAGTGAGCAAGGGGGGGGCCCTGAGAGCCAGGGCAGCCAGTGCTCCCACAGACACATGTTGAAGATGAAGGTGGAAGGTTTTCCTAAATTTATCCGAGTGGGAACAAGGTCAGCAGCACAAGGTTAAGTAGATGTATGTCATTCAGATAATGGAATCTGACTCTCCTACATCTGAGATGTAAATGAGTTTAAACAGACTGGTGACTGCAGCTCCAGGGAGGGGATGAAACTGATATTTTTCAATTAGAGTTTGCACAGGGGCTGATCATTTTAACCAGTGAGACAGATTCAGCCAGGAGACCACTGGCTTATCTAAACACTGAACTCGGTCCAGTGGATTCAGGTGGTGGCTTTTGTCATCCTGATAAACATCAGAGTAATAAAAGGCTGCAGCAGGTGTCCAAACTGGTTGGCAATTACTGTAGAGCAGGAGTAGGTCACTATCTCAGCATCTGGTTAAGAACAACTCAACCTTCAGTGCCCATGGGCAGAATTCAGCCCCCAGTTCAGATAGGAGCTCTTGCTACACAGACATGGACTTAGAATGTGATAAAAATCACAAGCTTGGTCATGAATAGAGCAGTGAACCCTCATTAGACACAGCAACAACACTAGAATTTACTGCCATAGAGATACAAGTCTGAAATCCTGATGAAAACTCAGATCAAGAGTGATGATAGTCAGATGAGCATTAACTGTGTTGAGCAAATCTTTAGGCTGTAAACTCAGATTAAAGCAGATTTAAAAAAATAAGCACACACAGGAACTGTCATGTTTAACTCTTTAGAGCAAGAAGTGGAAATGGACATGGTTTGTTCAAACCACATGTGACCTCCAGAGGTTAAAGGCTGACAACAAAATCATTTCACCTGCAGATCTGAGAGCTGAGATAACAACATGCTTGTTCCCTCAAACTAATTCCTTAAAAATCTGTGTAAGCCAAAGACACCCCCAAAAATGCACACACCATGATTGAATAGCCTGGAGACAGCCACAAGACTGAATATAATTACCAGTGATTACCGAAAGGTGCTTTAAAAAAAGCTGAAAGAAGGGTGCAATTAGTCAGAGGGAAAGAAAGGACCCAAACCGAGGCAGGCAATTAGCTGGGTGTGGACCCAGCACAAGTGAACAAAGCAGTGGCAGCACCCCGTGCCCTTACCCAGCACGGAGGTGATTCCCACCAGGGATGCAGGATCCCTGCTCCGTGTCCTGGCAGCCAGAGAGATGGGCTGGCACCACCCAGCAGAGCAGAAAGCTGAGCAGCTTTTTGGTGTTAAAGGCTTTTTTTTGCCAGGCTGGGGAGGGCAGTGGGTGTTGGCCACAACCTGTTCCACCACACAGGCTGTGCAGGAGGAACTGGGTCAGGCAGATCCTGTCACTCGCCCCGCCGGGGTGGCTGTGCTGGGGAATTAATTACTGCACAAACACTGCCAGCACATGGAC